GGCAATTGGTAGAGCATCTCCCGATTCCTCAAGGAGTTTCAGGCTGATACACCATCTTCCAAGCTGTCTCCGAGTTCATGCAGCCCAGGCCAAGATTACGCCCAGGCTGCATCTCGAGCGCTACGCAGACGTCGCAACGCGTCAACTGAAGAGGATGGTGTGGAACTGAAACGTGTCTTTCCGATGGACGTAAAAGGCAGTTTACTGATCCACATAACCTCACTCCACAAGTGAGCAGCATGACTATAACAATTGCACCGGATTTTCCAGGATTACTGAGAAGCATGAATACCATTCCCGCTTCTTCAATCTGACTAATTTCAACACAATAATCGCGTAACACAAAGGCCGCGCAATATTTCTCGCGGAGGCCGCTACTACACGATTCTGGGAGACGGCAGACTGGTTCCGAACACAAGGACATTCCGCCACGGCTTACCGGATGGATATAAAAACAATGCCGAGCCGCGACTGTCATCACTCAGTGCAAGATCATACCGGTGTCTAGACGCTCCCAGCGTAACGGTGAGTGAAGCTGGCAAAATATTTACCATTACTTACAAAGTGCTTACCTATACGGTGTTTGTTGGCCAGCCCATATGTACAGGTAGCCTTTATAAAGCCATGAGAATCTATATTTTTCAAGCGGATATCCGTTGCAGTGCAATTCCCTTCGCAAAAATTCAGTGACATGCCTCTTCATCTTGGCATTGTCTTAAGCGATGTGTCAAACTCGTTACTGGCTCCTGTTTCTCACATTTCAGCTCCCTCATTTAAACGTTTTAACCGTCTCTTCTTTCCAGATTTCCGTCATGAAGACCGCCGTCGTTCTCGCCTGCCTGCTGGTGGCCGTCGCTGCCAAGCCCCAATTTGGAATCCCATTTGGCAGTGCCACTGGAGGAGCCAACTCTGGTTCCTTCCAGGGACAGTCGAGTGGTCTCTTTGGAAACAGCCAGGTCCAGAACAGCTTTGCCAATGCTGGGGTAAGTTTTTTTCTCAAACCCCTCAGCTGTGGTAATATGAAATGAAATAGAGTTATGTTTTACAGTTATTTTATAAGTATCTTATTCTGTCATAAGTGTTTCATCTTTGGCAATTGGCGACCACGAGCAGGATCTGCATCTAAAATTCCACGTTAAGTTTATTACATGAAATATTTTATTGAAGCAACTTCAAGCTAATAAAATTCAGAAGTGCATATTTTTCAACGCTTCAAATCATTCAAAGGACTCCAGTATATGTTTTTTTTCAAAAAGGAACTCGACAAAAACACCAGGCAACGTGCAAAGTTCAGGTCATTAACCCGCGCCCGGCTGGGGGTCCTGGATTTCCACGCCCTGCTGGGGGGGGGGTGTTTGAACACCCCCCCCCTTGTAACTCGGCTCCTGGGCCACGTAGCGATACGCGGAAGGCGGCGTTCGAAAGAGCGTCAAAAACAATGACGAAATCACTTCGGTCAATTTTTTGGTCAGGTCAAAGGTCAGGTCACCAGAGGTCATTGAAGGCAAAATTTCGCCGATTTCCAGGTCGAATATCGAAAATTTCCAAGAAGCCAACGCATAACTCGGGAACCAATAGAGCTACAGCGCCGCGGAAAAGCGCATTCGATAGCCCTATTAACGCCCTTTCTGAGTAATTCTCTCAGATTTGACCTAACGTCAACGGTTTTGCCTGCAGGGGGCAAAAACTGCAAAAATAGCCGATTTTTTCGGAAACAGTTTTTCGGCAATAACTTTTGACCCAAGCCTTGTACGAGCTTAATTTTACCGGCATCGTGTTCCTCTCGCCAAGACGCATCGAATGAACTATAACTTGACATTAAAAGGTCAACTTGAAAATTTGACCTCAGGTCAAGGTCATGAACTGACCGGAAAGGGTCATGTTGCATATCAGTCGATCTGTATCGTCGAGCTGAACACATCTAAGGCGTTTTCATCGCTCTAGCATGCCTCTATCAAAAGTTATTTGCGAAAAACTGTTAGATGCAATTCGTGACCTAAGATGACCTCAGGGCATAAACAAGGGTCACGGACACCATTTTCATGTTCAGTGTGACTAAACCACTTGTAATTCAGTGTTTGGGAGTGTTTATAATGTCTTTCGTCCAAAAGAGGCGCATTGCAATTTTCTCCCATTGACTTATAATGGGGAGGTCGCAAAATTGACCTGACCTTAGGTCACCGATATCAAAATTCCGAGATATACATTTTATAGATACTGTTACTCTTATCAATCGCTGAAAGTTTCAAAGCGATCGGTCACTCGGTGTAGCTATGACAGACATTGAAACTTTTTATGAGGTGAGGTCACTTCAAGTGACCTGGTAACCTGACCTTGAATGACCTTGGTCTGAAATTTTCACAACATGTGTAGAATTGATGTATGATAAGGTATACCAAAAACGGCGGCGCTCCGCGCCGCCGTTTTTGAGATATTCGCGAAAAACCACAAGGGGGTGTTCAAACACCCCCCCCCCCAGCAGGGCGCGGGTTAACGTGCAATGTTCTTTTTCCAGGGTTCTGCTTTCGGTGGCGGTGCCTCGCTGAACAGCGCTAGCAGCAACGTCGGACAGAGTATCGGACTGTTCGGAAATCAGCAGTTCGCCAGCAACCAGGCCACCAGCAATCAGTTCGGACGTTGATTCGTGATGTCTAAACTGAGCTGTGACTTGTGTTTTCCATATGGGTACCTTTGTGATAATGTTATGGTTGGGTAACTGTGCGATGTTTTGTTTCGACGTGTAATAATGAACTGATAAACGAAAAATAAACAAAATATAAAGATAAACCAATTTGAGGCACCTAAGATGATAGAAACTCTGCTCGCAGATCATTATAAAAATGATTGAAGATAACTAACCAGTGACCTCATATTAAAAAATGGAATAAACCATTCCTTTATATAAAGCCTGGTCGCATATTTTGCTCCTGGACCTCCATCAGGCAATTACTGATGGCGAACCTTCGGGAGCGGATTATACAATCAGTTTTTCTATTACTACTTTACTTTTCTATACTATGGGAAAATGCACGTGCCGATTACCCCAAAACGGGTTAATTATATTTCAAGCGACCGATGCCAGCCGGTAGCTCCCCGATACGGGACCAAACGCTGAAAATGGCAAAAAATTCTACCGTGCCGTTTTCGAGGGTATCAAGATGACCAAAATCGCGGCAGAAACGCTAAACACCCCCCTAGAGAGGTAGCTCAGGTTGGGATTTTCAATAGAAAATCACAATTCTAAAGAATAGTGATTGTCTAATTGAAAAGTCCCAACCTTCGGATATTTTCTATTACTACTTTAGGGTCATATTTCTTTTTTTATTAGAAGTTTACTGGTTATTTTTGCTTTAACGGTATGAGCAGATTTGAACCAGTACGAATTGCGGAATGCTCATTGGGCACGCCGTATGCAATATAACGCAGGTGTAGCTTGGTAACGAGTCTCGACCGATATTATATTTCAAACCAAAACATTTTCAAGGTTATAGTGAACTGCTGATTAGCCCGCGCCCTGCTGGCGGTGTTTGAACACCCCCCCCCCCTCCGTTTTTTTTTCACGAATATCTCGAATTCGAGGTATTCATGAAAAACGAATACGCCGCCGTTTTTGGCACACCTTATCATGCATCAATACTTCACATGTTGTGAAAATTTCAGACCAAGGTCAATCAAGGTCAGGTAACCAGGTCACTGCAAGTGAACCTCACCTCATAAAATGTTTCAATGTTCGCCATAGCTACATCAAGTGACCGATCGCTTTGAAACTTTCAGCGATTGATAAAGCCAACAGTATGTACAAAATGTACCTCTTTGAATTTTCCTATCGGTGACCTAAGGTCAGGTCAATTTTCCGGCCTCCCCATTAGGAATGTCAATGGGATAAAATTCAAAACCGCCTCTTTTGGGCGAAAGTCATTCTAAACACTTTGAAACACTGAAGTACAAGTAGTCCTGACACACTGAACTTAAAATGGAACCCATGGTACCTCTTTATGCCCCGAGGTCATCTCAGGTCACGAATGGTATCTCACAGTTTGGTTTCGCGAATAACTTTTGATAGAGGCATTCTAGAGCGATGCCAACGCCTTAGATGTTCTCAGCTCGACGATACGGATCGATCGATATGCAACACGACCCTTTCCAATCAGGTCATGACCTTGGCCCCAGAGGGTATTGAAAATTTCAGCCCGCTACGACAAGCCGTTTAGCGTGCACTTCGAAAAAACCTCAGGGGGGGTTGATACAACCCCCCCTAGGCGTTCTAGGGTTAATCTTAACACTGTTTTCGAAATATAACAATAATCCAATAGATGAAGAAATGGAAGCGGTTTCAGAAAAGTTTAAGCAAGTTACCCCGCGCTCAGCTGGGAGTACTGGATTTCCGCGCCCCGCTGGAAAGGTGTGATTGAACACTCCCCCTTCTAACTCGGCTCCTGGTCCACGTAGCGCCATGCCGTAGGCGCCGTTCGAAAGAGTGTAACAATAATGACGACCTTACTCCAAGTCTTTTTTATGGTCAGGTCAAAGATCAGGTCACCAGAAGTCACTGAAGCTAAAATTTCACCACTGTCCACTGTCCAGCAGGGTTGTGTCCGACTCAAAAAAATTTGCCGACTCGACTATCATTCAACTTCAGAAAGCCCTGACTCAACTCTGACTCAAACAAGGAGCTGATTTTTTTCCTTTGACTCGACTCATGACTCAAGGGGCTCAATAAAAATATGAGTTGACTCAAACTTGACTCAAATTTTTTGTTGAGTCAAGTGTGTTGACTAAAAATTGAAATTTTCATTCACGTCTGTCACTTTTTCCGTTGATCTGCTTACTGCTTTCCTTTTTCACTTGAATTTATTCAAGTGAAAAAGGAAATTTCTTTGATTTTTCATCTACCAATATCGTCGACAGATATTTCATGGACCGGTGAAGTTCATAGTCACTCACGCATTCTATGAGTTTCAGGTTTTTGCTTCGTTTAGAACTCAGCTATATGAAAGCCAATTGCCCCTATTTTCCAGAAAACACACTTCAACATGAAGGTCGCCGTCGTTCTCGCCTGCCTGCTGGTGGCCGTCGCTGCCAAGCCCCAGTTTGGTAGATTCGGAAGTTTCGGTGGATTTGGCAGTGCCAGGGGAAGCGCCAACTCCGGATCCACTCAGGGACAGTCCAGTGGACCCTTTGGAAACAGTCAGATTCAGAACAGCTTCGCGAGCGCCGGGGTGAGTACCAACTCCAATATATCGCTTTGATGCAGTTTGACAGCAGCTATACGAAATCGTCATTACACTTGACTCTTAAAAACGTTTCGATACGTTTTGAGAAACGATAGATACATTATTAGTTGATTCTCATTATTAATATAGTGGTAAAGAAGTTAACCATTAACATGCTACAGCAATGTTCATTTTAGCAATTAGAAAGACCGAAATATAGAATTAGCTTTCGCCGCGAAGTAATCATCAGATTCAAATGCTAAGGATTTGACGGTGCCTTAGCGGCAAAAGCTTATTCTGCATTTCAGTCTTTCTAATTGCCTTAATGTGCCTTTTCTGCCATGTTAATGATCAATTTCTGTATTATTTTTTTGCAATAATCATGGCAAAAACACCATCCATTACAGTAAAAATTACATGTATAAATATATTTGATTATAACAGGTCATCCATTGAGGTGGGTCCGAAACAAGTTAAACGACTTATGACATTCAACTAATGACGTATCTTTTTTTCCAGGGTTCCGCTTTTGGAGGTGGCGCCTCCCTGAACAGGGCAAGCAGCAACGTCGGACAGAGCATCGGGCTGTTCGGAAATCAGCAGTTCGCCAACAACCAGGCTACCAGCAACCAGTTCGGACGGTAACCCGTTCGGCCAGGGAAAAATATGTGATACTGTCATAACTGCATGAGTCCTTGTATGCAGCTTATGCAAGTGTTTGTTCATTGGAAATATCCTCGTGGTTTACAATGTGTTGAGAGCTGTTTAACCCGCGCGGGGCTGGGGTCTCCAGCCGAACGCGCGGGGCTGGGGGGGGGGGTAAATTTTACCCCCCCTGTTATCTCCCGAACTGATGGTCCGATTCGGAAAATTCAAACGCCAATCGAAAGATCTCATCACGAACGACTAAAAACATGTACTTAATTTTAAGTTCGAGGTCAAGGTCAAGGTCAGGTCAAGGGTACAAATTGCAAGTTCCTACAGTATCGGCCTTGCACCGTAGTTGCCGAAGAATGGAGTCATGGACTGAGACTGATCGCCCAAAACGTGCTCTTAGGCTACCAAGACAATATTCGTTGCATACAATATCATTCAGAGGTCAAGGTCAAGGTCAGGTCAGGTCAGGTCAGGTCACCAAAAACAAAATATAGAAAAGGGCATGTGCGACACATGTTTTATGGGTCATTTTACTCATAGAATTCAATAGGCACACTCAATAAGTGATATGGACCCCCTCTGGATGAATTTCAGTTCGAGGTCAGGTCAAGGTCAGGTCAAGTGAGGTCAAATTTTGAAGTTGGTTGTTAAGGCCTAAAAAGGTGTCTATCTGATGCAGTTTTTCACGGCGAATCGAATGGTGCTATTTTTGTTTCCGTACCAGGTCTAGAACTTCCAAAAAAGTCATTTTTCAAAATTTTTGTGTGTCGTGACGTCATACAATTTTGAATAACTCCCGCATTTTTGAACCGATTCTTTTAAAACTTGGTATGTAGGTGCACATAGACCACTTCTCTGACATATATTCCGGTTTTTTTCGATACACTCAAAATTTTGGATTTTATAGCTATTTTCCCAAAAGTCAGTTTTTTGAAAAAATTTGGGCCAAAATCCAAAATTTTCAAAAAACCGAGATAGCCATTTTAAAAACAAAGTAGAATTACGTATATCCTTTTTTGTTGCGTCTTGATTCCTTTAAAAATGAAGATGTTAGCGGCGTTTGAACTTTTGCCGATTTTGAGGCGAAAATGGCGAACATGACGTCACTAAAACGTCAATTTCTCAAAAATTTTCCGACGGATTTCGCTCAAATTTTCAGGGAACGTGTCAAATTGATGAAGGAAAAGGTACTGAAAGTTTGGCGGCGCTGCGCGCCGCCGTTTTTGAGATATTGCAAAAATTCGCGAGGGGGGGTAAAATTTACCCCCCCCAGCCCCGCGCGGGTTAATACAAAACGGAAAGATCGTCACTTGTGTCAACTACGAGAGTCTCTGAACGGAGTGGATCAGCGTCGATATCAAAGACTGAGGTGCGCACAAAATACCACGTCTCTTTTACGATCCCGGATCCAGAATCTCAAGTACCTATATGTAGACTAATAACATCTAACAGGAAGCCTACGTCAAGGTTCTAGTAATACTGGGTGAGGCCAGATGAAGCATGTGTCGTTTGGGACGAAAACAAAGCGATTTTTCTGCGAGGCTCTAGCTCAATAAGCTCGCGCCCCGCTGATGTTTCTAGGTTGGCACGCCCTTCTGAGAAAAGGGGGAGGGTGTTTGAGCCCCCTTCTAAGCCGGCCACTGGGCTACGCAGCGACATGACGAAAAGTTGTGACCAAATTACTTAGGTCATTTCTTTGTCAGGTCAAAGGACAAGTCACCAGAGGTCATCGAAGGCCAAATCTCGCCAATATGCAGGGCAAACGTTGACAATTTACAACAAAGCAGCGCATCTGGGATCCTTATGGAACTACAGCGCCCTCGATAAGTGTATGTATTTGATAGCCCTTTTTGCACCACTTGTTCAGAACGATTTTCTCTGATTTGACCTAACGTGAACGATTTTGCTAGAACATGAGCTGCCAAAGTAGGCAATTTTTGCGGAAACAGCTTTCTGCAAAAACTTTTGACTCAAACACCGCACGTGCTTACTTTTACCGGCATAATTTTTCTCTCCTCAAAACGCGTCGAATTTCCTATAATTTGACCTCAAAGGGTCAATCAATAAATTTGACCTAAGTTCAAGGTCATGACCTGACCGTAAAAGGTCATGTTGCATATCAATCGAGCCGCATCGTCGAGCCGAACACAGCTTAGGCCTTTTAATCGCTCTAGCGTGCCTCTATCAAAAGTTATTAGCGAAAAACTGTTGCACACCTCTCGTAACCTAAGTGCCCCCAGGGACATGAGAAGGGGTGGCGGGTGCCATTTTTCGGTTCAGTGTGTCATTTATACTTGTACTTCTGTGTCTGAGGGTGTTTAAAATGGCGTTCCTAACGGCCGCGGGCCGACGGGTCCTGATGGGCGGAGCCTCGCTCCGGTGCTAGGCTCCGCCCACCCGGATTCGTCGTCCGTCAGGTGCGGCCGTTGTATGTAGGATGGACCAAGGCTCTATAGAAGGATGGACGGACACCCGCCGCGGCGCACGGAGCCTGTGCGAGCCGCCGTTGTTTTGATCGTTCGAACAACCCTGAGCCATGTTTCACGGTACGACGCTATCTGACGCTACTAGGGTTTCACGCTCGGTTTCCATGGAAACAAACAAAATGACTGATTCTCCCTTCGTTTCGATGAAAGCTAAACCCCAACACCTAGAAGGTACCGGCAAGCCCGGCAAGTCGCGCGCGGCTTGCTGTGAAACAGGGGCCGATTTTGGAGTACTCCGCGGCGCGCTCTCCGAGGAAGTCTGACCCGACCGTGTGTCTGGTGGACCCCTGAACCCCTGAACCCATGAAACGCCGACAGTTCTGAGCTGGAAGTCGCCGGCCAGTCTGGGCGCTAGGTTCACTCAATATACCCTGGGCGCTAGGCTCTATGGGTGACGGGGAATTATAGACGCCGAAAGTGTTCGCTTCTTTTGGCGTGTTTACAGTGGGAGCAGTGAGCACTGAGTAGAAAGGCTGCAGCCTGTTTGTAGCCATGTTGACCTACGGTTCATGATGTGTTCAGTGTTAGCTGTGTTAACCCTCTCAAGCCCACACATAGTTCCACGATTCCGAAATTTAGCACCTCGTCACGCAGGAATCTTGGATCTTTTCTGCAATCTTTACTAAATGGAAACTATTTTCGGACAATTTTGCATCACACATGATTGATTCATACAGCCCAAGGCTTCAGATGGGTGAATAGCGATATTGGACTGAATAGCGAATAGCGATATTGGACCATGCAAGTTGAGGCATAGGTTTACTTCAGGCACAGACTTTGTCACTCAAAATGTGTTGCCTAATTACAATCGATAAATAATTTCTATAGACATATATTTTCAATGTCTGCCAATAAATAATTTCTAATGTTTAATGTATTACAACAATTTTGCTTTCCGCTATTGGCCTCCAACTTGAATCAAAACATCATTTGCGTCGTGCTAAGGAAGCTCCAAGAACCACAAACGTATCTGCTCAGTGTTCGGGTGTGCTCAGGAACACCCATTCCGTTACTTTCTAGACATAGCGGGGAGCACTTGCGCACCCGTTCAGTATATGTGTGTGGTCCGAGGATACTGCTAGCTATGATACAGAAGTGAAAACTTATGATTGCCTTAGTACGTCGTGAATTTGAAGCAGTTCTGATACACACTTCGAGGCCTTGTATGTATGTATGACGATCAAGAGCAATCCACAATCGGCGTGGCGATTACCCATCGGGTAAGAATATGGAATATGGATGAATATGACGATGTCGGCTCATTTCAATGACAGTACGGCCATCCCCCGATGTCTCTTCTTGTAAACTGACAGCGCATCCGGCAGCTGCAAATTGCGAATTGTGCAGTGCCTGTTGGGATTATGACTGGTGCCGATGGTCCTGATGACTTTTTAGTGCCCTGGTCTTGATGTCATCTGCGTCAGTACGAGAGCCACACATCAGCCAGGGCACGTTATCAAGTCCTTCCCATGCATCTCGAGTATATATGAGCTTGTTTATTTTTTTAAAGCATTTGAAACATTTTAAGGTTGAATGATAACCAATCAACTGTTCATATTTCTGACCTTCAACTTCTTCTTTCCCATTAGAAATCACACGTTTAGCAATATGATATGTATATTGTACAATATGCACGGTGGTAACAATAATTCTCTACACTTATGTTTTGATTACCTTGTACAAGTCATAATGTACAGAAGCGCACAATGGCAAAATTTTCATCTATAAAAGAATCGCATTAGCGTCCGAACTGGTTGCTGGTGGCCTGGTTGTTGGCGAACTGCTGGTTTCCGAAGAGTCCAGTGCTCTGTCCGACGTTGCTGCCAGCGCTGTTGAAAGAAGCGCCACGTCCAAAAGCAGAGCCCTGGAAAGACGACGTGCCTAGTCAATAACCTGAACTTCAGGAGCTGATTCATATTGTTTTATATAGGTTGATATCTGCTGCAACAATTCAAATCCACAGACATTTTCATTGACTCATTTTCAGTAAACGACAATATGATAAAATGTGTTTATATTTTGGGAAAAAAACAGCAACAAATTTAAGCACTTTGTTCTTTCTTACACTCACCTGTGCGTTAGCGAAGCTGTTCTGAATCTGGCTGTTTCCGAAGAGACCACTGGTCTGTCCCTGAGTGGATCCAGAGTTGGCGCTTCCCCTGGCACCACCAAATCCACCGAGTCCAAATCTACCAAACTGGGGCTTGGCAGCGACGGCCACCAGCAGGCAGGCGAGAACGACGGCAACCTTCATGACGGGGTCTGAAACTGAGGGATGATCGGGTAAGAAATTAATGTACGTGCTAAACATACATGTGGTCCTACAGGGCGCGATCGATAAAAGGTCAATAACATGAAGAGCTACACATTGTAAGCAAGGTTACCTGACAACAGACAGGGGATATGCCGATGTTGTGCCATTAAGCCTTGGCTTCAGTTGATGGATGAAAAGTGATTCCAAGATCCTGAGAGAATGTGATGGCTCGCTGCCTAAAATGGTGAAATCGTTGAAGGAGACAGGGGTGTCACATGTGTGACTGTGATCGCGAATGGACGATTGTTTTGGAGTTGTTAGAATATTACCAGTGCGGTCAGAAATGCCCTTATGTTCACATACCCTGGTGTA